TATATTATATAAATGCAGACTTCCTGCAGTTAGGGAAGTCACAGAGAAATGCACAGGAAAGTGTAGGATGAATGAAGAGTTAATGGGAAGTGGCTCACCATGTAAGCTTCATGTAAGCAAATCTATATGAGGTTCAGTATACAGGCCATATAGAGGAGCACTGAGAAGCACACACAGATGAACTGTGAACAGGCTTCAGAAGGTAGAAACCTGCCTATCTTACTCAGAAGCAGATGAGCTATTAGGTGCTCCTCCATCTCTCTCACACACACTTTTTAAATTGTCTGGAGAGTTCTAATATGTACAGGGACTGCAGCACAAGAGAATTGAGAATTTAACCCTTCCACGTCCAAAAAGGTCAGCCCCCCCCCCCCGGTTTTGGCCTGCTAGCAGAGGCGAACCTTGGTAATATGGCCCTCTGTGTGACGCCAAAATTTCACATCCCGCTGCCTTCCCAAAGTTGGGCAAGTGCTAACTAGGCTTTGGGAAGGAGTCGGGGGAGGGAGGGGGGACTCTAGGTTCCTGTCACACCTCCTTCCCAAAGCCCAGCGCTTACTAGACTTTGGAAAGGAAGCCAGGAGGTGCCCCCTTGCCCCCTGCACTCTGTGTTGGGGAACCATTCGTGCTGCCGGAAATCTGCCTCTACTGCTAGGAAAACCATATATGTGTCTTATTTCCAAATAGCCTCAGGGAGGGATGGTGGTAAATCTGCTCCCTCTGTAGTACTGATTAGATTAGGCCTCCAGCATTTCTGTATGAAGAAAATGTAAAAAGACAAAGGTGCATTCAGACATCTCTAGTGCGTATGTATCTTAGCCCTTGTATGATTAATAATTTTATGAAATACTCATCTGATTATACCATCTTTTCCCACTGGATATCCACTGTTCATTCCTATCTCCCCCTAACATTCAATTTATCCTTGCATCATCAGCATGTTATAAATTTGCAAATCTCATATGAAAATGCACTTGTCTTCTCCACACTTTAACCTCTTAAATTCCACATTCTCTCTTGTTATTTTTATGTATTTCCAACCTTCGTTATAAATATTATGCTGTATGTGAGCAGTTTTTTGTTTCAATATTAGTTTGCAGTTATAAGAGATAATCACTATGGGGGTGTATCTCTGGGGTTTGTGAAATACACTGTATAGGTATAGCAAAAGTTGAACAGGGAACAGTAGGTAGTGGAAAGAGAGACATTATGAAAGCAGAAGCAAAGAGTTAGAAAAATGGAAATCAGGAAGAAAGAGTTCAGAGAAATATTGCCATATCTGTAAATAAAAAGAGCAACTAAAATGTGATTGAAAAATGGCAAAATGCAAAAGATGGAATTACTTTTTGTAGACATGTCAACAATGATGGAATATGTTAGAGTGAAGAGTAAATATTCTTCAGCAAAAAAAGCAAAAATCCAAAGTCCAATAAACACCTATTCATCTCATAGAATGAGATTTCTTTATTAAGGTGCATAAAATAATAATGTATTGCCTCTGAAAGGTCACACCAGGCTAAAAACTACAGCTGATTTTACATGCCACAGATAGTTGTATTAGTCCTTTTAGTGCAGAAAGCAAGATGTGGAAGCTCTCAGAGCATCCCCTCACAATGCCACTGGTTTCTAACACTCCAGGCTATGGCCTTGACCTGCTTGAGGTTTTCCTTGCCTCTTGAGGCATCCAGTGATCCATTTATCCCTCCACACGTCAGAGTTCCATGTACAGGGGATTTGCTCATTCTTTTTATTATTAAATGTATATCAAACAAAACTTTACAGTATTCATGATTTGTGGAAAGGATCGCAGAGTCTTGAAACAAGACAGACTGTGTGGGTTGTATCCAGTGATCCTGTTAGTGCAAGTACTTCTTCTGCCACAACACTCTCCTCTCCCCTTCTCCCTGTGTGCCCTCCAAAAGTTCTCTAGAGGGTTGGGGGAAAACTCAGAACATATCTGGAGTGTGCATGGAGTGAGGAGAGGAAGGGTCAGTTGAGGAAGGGTCAGTTTTATCGCACAAGCAGAAGTCTCTGTGTGAATGGAATGACTTCTTTAACTACAACCCTGTGAGTCTACTGTTGTGCTTTGGCAAAAATGACAGAGAGGAAGGTTTAGACCATGGGTAGGCAAACTAAGGCCCGGGGGCAGGATGCGGCCCAATCACCTCTAAATCTGGCCCGCGGACGGTCCGGGAATTCATGTGTTTTTACATGAGTAGAATGTGTCCTTTTATTTAAAATGCATCTCTGGGTTATTTGTGGGGCCTGCCTGGTGTTTTTACATGAGTAGAATGTGTCCTTTATTTAAAATGCATCTCTGGGTTATTTGTGGGGCATAGGAATTGGTTCATTCCCCCCCCCCTTCAAAATATAGTCCGGCCCACCACATGGTCTGAGGGGCAGTGGACCAGCCCTCTGCTGAAAGCGTTTGCTGACCCCTGGTTTAGACCAACAGGTTTGCAGATCCCTCCACTTGCAAGCTGTCTACAAATGTGGGCTCTTACAACTATGTTCTCCTTGAGCAGAGGGCAGAAACTGCAATTGTCTTTTGATACAACAGAATAACATATGGCAAATCTTCTCCAATCCAGCAAGACGTTTAACTTGCATCTAGTTTTAGACACTTGACTAAGTTGCTTATAAATTAGGTAAATAGCTACAAACCTTCTCATTTTGCATATCTTAAAAACATTAACAAAACAAATTATGATTGTCTATTTTTGGATCAGAAAGTATCACAACCTGGGGCTGTTAAGCCCATTTCATGGGAATTTCCCTCAAAAGTGCTAAGTGCTAATTGTGCTATGCTTAATACCAAAACCTCCATCTTCATAGTTTTCAATTGCCACAAAAATGCTAGGTAGGACCTTCAAGAAAACCCTTAAGCCGTCATGGCCTCTCACTTTGTCATAAGGCAAAGGTAAAGGCAGTGGCGTAGCGTGGGGGGTGCAGGGGGTGCCGGCCGCACCGGGCGCAACATCTGGGGTTAGGGCAAATCCACAGGTTATGGGGCGCAAATCCACGGGTTAGGGGGCGCAAATTACTTGCCTTGCCCCGGGTGCTGACAACCCACGCTACGCCACTGGGTAAAGGTACCCCTGCCCGTACGGGCCAGTCTTGACAGACTCTGGGGTTGTGCGCTCATCTCACTCTAGAGGCTGGGAGCCAGCGCTGTCCGCAGACACTTCCGGGTCATGTGGCCAGCATGACAAAGCTGCTCTGGCGAGCCAGAGCCGCACACGGAAACTCCGTTTACCTTCCCGTTAGTAAGCAGTCCCTATTTATCTACTTGCACCCGGGGGTGCTTTCGAACTGCTAGGTTGGCAGGCGCTGGGACCGAGCAACGGGAGCGCACCCCACCGCGGGGATTCGAACCGCCGACCATGCGATCGGCAAGTCCTAGGCGCTGAGGTTTTACCCAGAGCGCCACCCGTGTCCCGTTTGTCATGCAGAGTCCCAAATTCCCAGTTGCAAGCCTTCCCTCTCCCTCCTTGTAAAAAAACCCCACCCAAATCTTTCCCCACCTTTTCATTCATTGCTCCTTCCATCTCCTGGCCAGGGAAAGAGAGAAGCAGCAGCCTACTTCAGCTTCTCATTTGCACAGATTTACCAGCTGCTCAGCAACACTGCACACAATGGGGAGGGTCTGCTCTGCGTCCAAACCTCTTAGGTCCCAGCCCAATTTGTTTGCATTGCTGCCTCACCTTTCCTTGCCAGTTTCATTTGGGAACCTCAAGTATCACTGAGGTGTGTTGTGGGCATTTCCTCTTTGGGTCCTTCTTTGAAAAAGGTGCAAGAGATCTGATCCTGCAGCTTGTCCCTCTTTGTGGCTTAAAATGAACCAGACTAGATTCCTGGAGTGTAGGGGCATTTGGGGAGGATGCATTTCCGGAGGAAAAACGCCTCCCTCCAAAACCCTCTCCTGCCTGGCTTCTCACTTGGATGGGAAAAAGACATTGATTTCTCCCATGAGCTAAATTGGAGTCGCCTTCTGAATATTGGGGCATGTGCAGAGTGCCCATTCAAGACACCAGCATTCGAGCCAAGAGGCGGGGGCTTAGAGGAAACTTGCTACAAACATTTAGATTGTGCTGAGCCACTCTCTGACTCAACTCTCACAAGTATGCTGACTCACTCTTTAAGGAACCAGCATATACACTCTGGTACTAACCCATAAAATCTTTTTTAAATGTCAAAATCAGCATTTTGAATTTTTCTCAGAAGTGGAATGGTTGCCTATGCTTCTGTTGATAAATTGCATGATTTCATTTCATTTCAATTTCAATTTGTATACCACCTTTATACATTAGTGTGCTCAAGGGTTAGAAATGACAAAATATATAACAATAATCACATTGGTTCTATTTTCTACTATAATAAGGTAACAATCACATTGTCATTCTATAACAACTCAAAATGTCTTTAAAACATGTGATCGGCTAAATAAACCCAAGATATGCAATGTTGTAAATCCTTTTTGAGTTTTCTTCTGAAGACTATGGTTCTATTTCTGTGTTACAGGGTTTCCCTTCTTTATGCAGAAAATAAATGTTATTGGGCTGATACAACTTATTTTATCAAGAGTAAAATATTGCACTTACAATGAAGCATGCATTTTGCTTTTACAGCATATATATTTTATGAGCAAACATGGATAATAATTTAAGTAATAATCATCTCCAAACTGTTTCATGAATGATGGTTTGTTGTCTCACAAATTGAATGTGGCCTTCTGGACTTATAATAATGTTTTCAATATAGCTAGCAAATTGCCCATTCCCAGTTTATTACAACTGAGTCCAAATAAACAATGAACATTTTTTTCACACAGTTTTTGCTGTTTTTATTCTTTCAAATAGAAGATGTGATTTTCCTTCAAATCAGGTTGTCAACTCTCTCTCCCCCCCCCCGCCCCCTGGTAGGCCAGTGCTGTTTTGGAGGGGCATAACCATCACTGTGATCATTCCAGTGATATTAATTCTGTTATTTTTTGTGTTTTTCAGGAGGTGCAGCACTGACAATGTGAATGTGCGATGATGAAAACATTTGTAGTTTGAAACTGTAAGTTTCCACTGTTGGTGCTTGCAGAGAAAAGTATGAGATTTTGAGACTGGAATGATGAAATTATTTAAAAAATACGTTAGTTTGGGAGGTGATAAAATTCTGATACAGTGAACAAACAAACTGATGCCAATGATATGGTTAGAATCCAAAGGGGAAGCTGCACATGACCTAGTGCTCATGCATAATTTTTCCAGAGTTTTCTGCAATCCCCCCACAAGCCGTTAAACTTATTTTTTTAAAAACCTACCAAATTTACATAGTTTGATTTTACGAAGGGAAACTTGGCAAAACGGAAAGTGCAAAAACAGCATTATTTCCAGTGACATGTTCATTTACATTTACAGAATTGCGTGTATGCTCCACCTCAACCTCCAGATCTCAGGCTATGTAATAACATACTTTTAAATACGCTGGAAGTGAATAATCAATGCAAAACAATAGGCTGCAGGTTTTGAAAATGGATTATTTTGGTGGAGTCTTGAGTAAATATATAGAAAAGCAGACAAAAAATGCACAAACCTTAGTCATTATTGTGCTATTTGTTTGTCGTATTTTTAAAGATGTGGGAGCCACAGTTTAGATTTGGTAGATCCAGTCTTCATAAAAAATAATGTCATGAAAATTCGTTAAAAATATTTATGTGAGAAAAAATAATCATTAAAGGAATGTACATTTGTGACAACCATTTTCTGGATTCAACAAAGCATGTTCAGTTATAACTGTTACAACATTCCTCTGGGTAATTCATGGTTTTATGAGTGCCATTGAACCATAGGAGAAAACAGACCTTATACTGATTTCTTTGGAACACACACTTGGTTGTAATCTCTTCACGCACAGGCATGCGGTAGATTGCAGCAATAATATAAACCTTCACTAATACGCTTAGACTAGGGGGGAATTAAAATTAAATAATTGTGTTTGCAAAACATTAAAACTGACATGCAATTTCTAAGCATTACTGCATTGTTCAGTAGATATGTGATTCAAAGTCCTTACCATTGGAACATGTTGTGCCGTGTGTCCTTTGATAAGTTTGCTTTCCTCCTTACTCACTCACTAACACACACACACACACACACACCAGATCATCAAGTTGCTGAGTTGGAGAGATTTGTAATGAGATGTTCAAGTTGTTAGCATTTATCTTCCTCTCCTAAATCTCCTTCTGACATTAAATAAAGTGTATTTCAGGCAGATTAACTGTCAAACACTTATGCCAACTACATTTCCCCCCAATCTGCTTCTAGGTTTTCAGAAGGGAAAGTTGTGCATGATGAGGTACGGAACGAACATGGATATTTTTAGCCCGTATAGGAAGATAGTGGAGATGACCCCCTGAAAAAGCACCACCATCCTCAAACAGAGCAAGCATGGCTTTTGCCCAGTCGCACATTATGACAGCTAGAAGGCATCAGCACAGTAGACTAATAATTGAAGTTGATGAGTACAGCTCAAACCCGACACAGGCTTTCACGTTCTACAACATTAACCAGGGACGTTTCCAGCCCCCACATGTGCAAATGTAAGTATTCTAGTTCTGTTATTGCTATACACAGACTTCTGAATGGTTATTGCTATGTCAATGTGGTATTTGATGGGCCAGTCAAAAGCGGGAATCGAGGGAATAGTGTTTTGGGGGAACATGTATTTTTATTAACAGATGCAAGGGGGAACACTGTGTTGTTTTACCTTGATATTTAATAAAATGGCAATAGGCAATTGCAGGAGCTTAGTACTGTATTATACCCTTAATCAGTAACCACCCCACACCCTTATATGAACAGTTATTTTAATATGAAGCCTTTTAAAGAACAAAACAAGTCTCATTGTTTGGCTAGAGATTCAAGAGATCTGCACTGACAAAAGAATGGCAGCAACTAATGAAATAGTGTGAGCACCCATATGACAAATCCTACTTTGATTCTGACAGTATGTGAAAGGCACAGGGTGCTTAAAGTGTAATTAGATTAATGTGTTTGTTTTGACTTTTTGTGTACCGTGAAAACATCTGTAAAGTTAATTGCTCTGAAGGGTGATTTACTTTTAATGTAACATGGAAGATCATAACTGCAAAATGAACAGTGCTAATAAAGTTGAGAGCCTTAAGGAAAAGAAAAGAAAATATTTAGCCATAACAGTCAAATGAAGTATTGACATTATTGTAATATATTTTGGTAAAGTATAAAAACTAGTACAGTATCCTTTTTCTCTTTAGGTTAGTGAACTGTAACTTGACCAGGATAGGAGTAGTAATAGACTTAATGAGTTCAAAACTATAGGTCATGTTTTTCAAAAACCAAACATGCACTGTGCACATTTGACATGCAAACAGAATTATGTTGGCCCATTACCTGGGTCTTCTGCCCCTGCCCCCTCCCCTTTTGAAGATGGGGACAACATTTGCCTGCCTCAAGTCTGCAGGGACCTCACCTGTTCTCCAATAATTCTCAAACATCATAGACAAAGGTTCTGAGATTACATCCATAAACTCCTTTAGTACCCTTAGATGCAGCTCATCAGTCCCCGGAGATTCGAATTCATTTAAAGTACCTAGGTGTTTCCTTATTACCTCTTTTCCTATCTTGGGCTGCAGCTCCCCCCTTACATCATTTATTCTGTTATCACTTTCCTTTTGGGTGAAGACAGAGGCAAAGTAGGTGTTGAGTAGAGTAGTTCCATCTTCTGCCTGTTTAGGTTTTGTTGGGTTAGTGTTGGTTAATTGTTTAGTTGGGGTTGGTGTTTATTTTAATTTGGGTAAAACTGTAAAATGATTATTAATATTATTATTATTATTACTGTTGATTTATTGGTTTATCTATTTAATGTTTCATTTTTTTATTATGTTTTCATATATGCTGTAAGCTGCCCTGAGTGGCTGAGGAAACCCAGCCAGTTGGACGGGAAATAAATAAATAAATGATAGCTTTTCTCTGTCTTCTCCACACAGAGGACCTACCGCTTACCTATTTTTCCTCATGCTTTAGACATAGCCAAATAAACCTTTTTTAAATTTATTTTTAACCTCTCTTGCAAGCCTGAGCTCATTCTGAACTTTAGCCTGCCTGACATTGCCCCTGCAACTGTTGGCTACGCATGTATACTCCTCCTTTGTTATTTCCCCTTTATTTCATTTCTTAACTCTCAGCTCATTGGTAAGCTTCTTATGCAGCCACACTGGTTTCTTGTTGGAATTGTTGCATTTGGGTCTTCATTATTTCTGCTTTTAGAGACTCCCATCCATCTTGGACTCCCTTCTCTTTGAGTATTCCTGACCATGGGATTTCATCCAGTAGCTCCTTAAGCTTTTTGAAATTGGCCTTCTTAAAGTCCAGAGTGCATGTCTCTTGCCTCTGTATCATGAAACCCTGGAAGACATGACCATTTTCTCCCAAGTTTCCAAATACTTCCACTTTGTTGATCAGTTCTTCACTTACAGATAGGTAGCCGTGTTGGTCTGCCATAGTCAAAACAAAAAAAATTCCTTCCACCTTAAAGACCAACTAAGTTAGTTCCTTGGTATGAGCTTTCGTGTGCATGCACACTTCTTCAGAAGTTCTTCACTGTTAGTGAGGACCAGGTTCGAGATAGATGAACCCCTTTGCTGCTGCTTCTACCTTCTGTCAGATGAAATTGTTGGCGAGGCCGTGGAGGAATTTGTTGGACCTTACATTCTTGGCAGAGTTTGAGTTCCAACACATATTGGGGCAATTGAAGTATCCCATGACTACTGTATCTCTCCTTTTTGAATGTTTGGTAATCTGCTCTAGTAAAGCATCATCCAAATCTTCAGTCTGGCTTGGTGGTCTGTTGCAGACTCCCACAGTAAGGTCGCTGTTGTTTCTCTCTCCTGCCATTTTTACCCACATACCCTCAATCTCCAGGTCATGGATTTCTTCACAAGTGCACACCAGCGTTCAAATCAACTGCCTCTCAGCCTAACACACTTCACAGGGTTGTTGTGGGGATTCAATGGGGAGGGGGAAGCAATGTTTTATTCTCACGATATCATAGAGCTGGCAATTACCCGTTCAGAACAGTCGGGGAAGGATTAAGCATATTAAGTCAACTGATTTACAGTCATACCTCTTGTTGCGTTTGCTTCACATTGCGGCTTTTTGGGTTGCGAATGCGGCAAACCTGTCGCTGCACGCACAGAAGCATTCTACGCACTTTGCACATGCGCAGAAGTGCTCTGTCGCACTCTGCGCTTGCGCAGAAGCGCCGCTCTAGTTGCGGACTTTTTGGAGTGTGAACAGCACCCTGAAACGGATCGTGTCTGCAACTAGAGGTACCACTGTATTGCACTTAGGGCACTGCCAGCACCCCCACAATACACAAGTAATTATAGTGGGAAAGTAGGACAAAGGGAGATTACTTTCAGCTACAGTTTCACCTCTGAAATTGCCTCAAAGATCTTCAGAGAATATTTGGCCCATCTACCTTACCTGTTCTGTAAGGGTTTTTTGAGTTGGTAATTTATTATTCATTTATTGTGTACAATAATAAAAAGGTTCTCGTAATTTATGTGAAGTGCTTTATAAATACTAAGTTTAATCTGAAATGTCTTAATGGTAGCCTGAACTGGGACTGGAACATTGCAGGCAAATTACTGTGCACAGTGTCTCCTTTTGCTGATTAAAAATACCCTAGAGAGTGGAGTCAAAAGACTGGTGATTTCTTGGAAAATTTGGACTGAGGAAACCTGAAGCTACCAGTACCTAGTTCTGCCACACTTTGTATATCTGTATTGATATTTTTTTGCCACCCTATCTGGGTTCAAGCCTGGTTTTTCTATATGTTCTGGCTGGCTTTTTCATGATCACCTATTTTGTTGTTCCCTTTAAAATGCTGACTTCTGGAACTACTTTTTAGACTATGTTATGCATCATTGAAATATCTAGGAAATAGACTGCCCTAGACTGATTTATGAAAAGGGTATGTTTCATTATATCTAACTTATATGAAGTGGTTACCATCCAGTTGCACTGTGAAACTTGGGGGCTTAATACTCTATGCAAAGGTACACAATGCTGGATAGTTTTGGATTAAGTGCTTATAATGTATTGCAACACGTGCATATGAAACTTAACAAAAAATGGCTGGTGAAGCACTGCTATGGGGCAATTGAGAGAAAGAGGAAAGCATGCCTTTCCAGTAGCCATTGGGAGCTGCCAGTGGATAGTGCTGGTGGCTCTGTCAGAATTATGCAGGTATGTGGCTGCTGACAGCTCGCTGTCCTCTGGCACAGGTGCAGGTTCCTGACCAGCAAGGGCCAGCAATAAGCTTCCAGGCTGTTGACTGAGCCCTACCCTCCACTGCTGTCTCCTGACAATTATCAGTAAGGATGTGACCTGCCCCTAGATTGTATTGCAGTGGCAGTGCAAGCAAGATTTCCAACAGCAAACTGCCTCATCAGCTGCTGGTAGACACAACTCCATTTATACCCTATTTTTATGTTTGTGTTTCAAATGATCTCTGTTAGAACTGGGCAATATCTGCTTTCTAACATTGTAATATTTCGCTAGCCACGGAGATGCACATCTTTTGCCTCTTCCTGGTGAGGCCGGGCAGGCAGCGCCACCCTGGGTGGAGCACATCAGCTGGCGCGCTGCATGCCATGGCACCATGGAGCCGCCGGTCTCCCAGGAACCGCCCCAATGATAGTCTCACTGTGCAAGCGGCGGCTACCAGGAGCCACCGTTCTACTCAGTGCAAGGAGGAACCAAGGGAGGGGACAGCCTGCCAGTGGTTGTATGGCCAGGGGGAAAAATGAAGTCACTGGCTAGCAGGCAGGCAAGCCCCATTCCCGAGGCTGGTGGTTGGGCTGCGGAGGGAGGGTGTGGCCAAGCACCAGGGGGTCATCAAGTGGCCTATCTGAAGTGCGCAGTGCTGGCTGGGAATGGTACTGGGGATTCATGAAACGTTGCCTGATAGGAAATTCTAAAATCGCTCTCACAATTTTATCTTTAAACCGGCTTCAGGCAAAGTTTATCTATATCGCCCAGACCTAACCTCTGTACCTGTGGTTAAACAGCTATTTTTCTTGAGCTTTTTCAGACTGGTTTTCCTTGAAAGCTTACAGACATTTCAGTTATGTATAATCTATGTTAATGTAAATATTACAGAATTGGTTATTTTGGCTGTAATCCTAACCATGTCTACTCAGAAGTAAGACCACTTAAATTAAATCAGGTTTACTCATAGGTAAGTGGGATTAGGATTGCAGCACACACTCAAAATATCTGTAGATCTGCAATCCAGATCATGTAAACTGTTCTCTCTCCAAATTAATATTACTACAGATAAGCCTGTTATTGATTTAACTATTGTGAAAAGTTGAAAAAAATGTATTTGAAAAATATATTTAAAGGTTTTCTCTAAATGGTATGTTAACTGAACTTCAACAAGAAGAGGTATTTATTCATTTGCAGTAAGGAAAAAATAGCTATAAAGTAATAAACATTTATGATTTATTTTTACAACAATTTTGTCCAACAATTATGAAAACTCTGAAAAATGTACTGCTTGTCTGCTTGACTATTCTGAATTGCTGTGTCATACATGGTGAGAGTGTATTGGATTTGCAAACTAGATGTGTGAAAAACACGGTCATGTGATTACGTTTTGTAATAATTCCTCAATATTTTTTACATAGGGTGGATCCTGTTCCACATGATGCTCCTAAGCCTCCAGGATACACACGTTTTGTCTGTGTATCTGATACTCACTCCAGAACAGATCCTATCCAAATGCCATATGGTGATGTTTTAATACATGCTGGTGATTTTACTGAACTGGGACTGCCTAGTGAAGTTAAAAAATTCAATGAGTGGTTAGGTGAGTATAGCATTACAAATAATTTCTAAAGCTAGTTTCATTTAACCAGTGAATAAAACCATACCTCTGCTTCTGAGAATTATGAATATTAATTTTGTCTTGGTGTTGAAGTAAGTGATCAGCACAATGACAAAATCAGATTACTGTGTGCTTCAGCTGTAAGAAGCAGCAGTTTGAAGTCATGAATTTTTGCTTCCTTAATTTTTAAACTTTGCTGCAACTCAACAGTTGAACCTTTGATGATTTGCATAACAACTCTTGCAAACATGGCAAACATTTATTTACCCCAGAGGCTGATAATTTTTCTGTTTGTGGCTCAGCTGCACTGCAGTCCTGAAATCCAAACAAAGCAAAGCACGAGCATGTAGTTGCTGCCTTGGCTAGAGATGCAGATGCCTTTTATAGGAACTGTTGTCATTGTTCACTGAAATTCTCTTCCATTGGGCAAGCAAGCAAGCAGTAATCTACATCAGTGTTTTTCAACCACTGTTCCGCGGCACACTAGTGTGCCGCGAGATGTTGCCTGGTGTGCCGTGGGAAAAATTGAAAAATTCGAAAGATTTTAAAATAAAGTATTTTATAATTTTTCATATTTCTGTTTACTTACTATTTCATAATAAAGTAATTATAAAATACTTTCTTTGTGTTTATTTGATTCCTATTCAAGAGAATTACTTTATATATAGTCAATATAGGCACAGAATTAAATTCTTTAACATTTTCTAATGGTGGTGTGCCGCGTGATTTTTTTCATGAAACAAGTGTGCCTTTGCCCAAAAAAGGTTGAAAAACACTGATCTACATGCACTCCTGTATTGTTTGGAGTAGGCGTTTAAAGTATAAGCTTTAGTTTTGCTTCTCTAAGTGGCTGCCCCACTATTCCCATGAATCATGGATTTCCACTTTGACTGATATTTTCCTGAATTATCTCTCAAAAGAATAGGGAAAATGGCTGAAAACTGAGATTCATACATAGCGTTGAATATTTTTAGACCCCGTTAAAATGAATGGTCCTAAAGTAAGCATGTAGGATGAAAAAAATATTTTTTGTATGAATGAACACAATAGACTTCATATGTCATGAACTGATTGAAGCAGTGGTATGAGTTAAGACTTATTTTAAGCAAAGCAAGAAAATGATGAGCAGTGTATATTTTTAGCTCTGTTGAGCCTCTTGTCATTAGAAGGCTAGCCTAACTGGTATAATGATGTGTGAATTTGTATATATGCGAATATATATCAGTGACCAGCTTTAATGATGGAAAGCTTTGCAGCAGATGGTATTAGAGAGGTGCAGCAGGTCGAACAATACAGAAAGCATTTTGAGTCTTAAATCTTTTCTCCAGCCACATTAGATTATGATGGAATATTCAGATGGGTAGTTTGAATGTGATCAGAGATTATGCCCTGCTCCTTTAAACTGCTTTAGCGAGGCAACAACTTAGTCCGTGTTTCAGTGTTGAACAGTGCTGATGTGTAGAATTTAAAGTCAGTTTTCTGTTTCATATCATGTTGTGTCCCTGTGCATTAGGCATCTTAAACATTGAGGGCATTTTCGCACATGGGGCTTAATACAGTTCTTCCTTTAACAGCAAATTCGGTGGGTGAGTGCCAACAGGGAATGGATCTAAAATAGGGCCAATGAGAAACATATTGGCATGTCTGGAAAACCCTGAAGATTGTAGGATACAGAGACTGTAGAATAAAATCTTAAAATCCTAAGGGTGTAAGAACCCCAAAAGCAGTGCAATGAAAACTGAACATGCTGTTTTGCCAAAGGCAAAAGGAGTTCTTTATTATGGCGCTCTAAAGCAAACGCAAAACTCAAGTAGTGAAGAAATTCTGAAACTTATTGAGCAGCAGGCTTATCATACACAATATCAGAATGGGCTAACATACCAGGCAAAGACAATCCCTCCTTCCTTTCAGCTGCTGGGACAGTTGAAAAGAAAAACAGAAAACTGGAGGTCAGGGGAAGAGTAGACTTGCCTGCTTGAATGGAATTGGCCGTGTGGAACCCTGAACAGGAATACTCCTGTTAGGATGCAAGAATACACTGCAACATTTTGTTACGGGTGTTTCTTGTTCTCTCTGGTAGTGAACTGGGTGGTTGGTTGCCTGTTAGTTTGAAACAAAATAAGGACACCAAAATCAGGAAGGTGTTTCTACATACTCAGGGAACCCTCTAGAAATGCTGGAGTATATACATTTGTAAAGGAATATGAATAAATATAAAAGAAAAGAAAGGTTAAATTCAACAAAGTGCCCAATAACTCCCTAGAGCTTCCAGAGTTGAGAGCGTAGGGAAAAACAGAGTAAGATATCATTGCCTGAAGAAGGAACTTCCAGGTACACAATACCAAAGAATACCATTTACATTTGCTGTTCCCTGTTGTTGAGGAGTCACAGCTACACTAAAATTCTGATTTACCCCCCATTGTTTTCTGTGGGCACCTTTGACTTTTGTCTAGGGGTGAATAAAGATATAAAAGAATCAGAAGTTTGGCAACTTATGTGTCATTCAGTTTAGTGTGTGGTTGAGAGAAGTTGAGATACAAAATGTGAGGGTGTCAGTTGAGGAAGGGAAGAAACGGAGGTTTGGAGTAGTGTTCAAAATTAGCCAGGCACATTTTGCACCTGGCTTTTGACCACTTGCGACCAAGTGAAGATGCCTAGGTGCCAGGATGATGCCTGACCTCTCCACCATCTGGAGGTGCATGCCTCGGGATCATTGGATCTGGACTGTTTTCAGACACGAATACCTCATCCTGTAGAATTCTATCAGTTATATTTTATCTGCACAATAGGGAATAAATTTCTGGAACCAAAATGTTTTTTCTGTGCAGCCTGAGCAGGAGCAGTCACCATTAAGAAAAAGAGGTAGGAATTGGCCAATATATATTTGGACTGTCCCTGGATCAAGTGACTTTTCTTCTTGACGTTCTCAGAGCTCTTAACCTAGCTCAAGGTTGTCATTTGAAATAGCCAGATGTTTAAGCAATCACAGTCAGTCCAGAGCCATCTTGCCCCCAAAGGGGAACTAGACATTCCATTTTGGTGACTGTATCCTTGGTTTAAGGAGCTATTTGGCACTCAGCTTATACACCTGAGTTTCTAACACTGGTTGGTGGAGGGGAAGAATGATTTGCTTAGTGAGTACTCTGGAGTGAGGGGGTGGGTGTGCTATATGGGGATGTTTTAGGAGGAAGGAAAGTAAAAAGGACACCTTTGCTCTTCCCCATTCTCTAGCGGGAAATGCTGTTTCACCACTTATTGCGAGTGGAGGGTGTTTGTCCCACTCTTTGTCTGGGAGGGTGGCTAGGCCCCTCATCACATCACCAGGGTGGGGTTGCGCAACCACTGAGAGCAGGCTTCCTCAAACTCGGCCCTCCAGATGTTTTGAGACTACAATTCCCATCACCCCTGACCCCTGGTCCTGCTAGCTAGGGATCATGGGAGTTGTAGGTCAAAACATCTGGAGAGCTGAGTTTGAGGAAGCCTGATTAAGAGCAAGGCTTTGGCCATTTCCTTGCTCCCTATCGAAATTCAGCCTACCGATGTTCAGTTTCCAGCCACAGATCCTTTGTTCCGTGGCCATTTAATCCAGTCCTGTGCAAGACAGTTCTATGAGCTGACCAGGACAATTATGTTTTCCAGTATTCTTTTCCTGAAAGTTGTTTCAGCTAGCCATTCAAGCAAGAATGTTTACTTTTAAACACACACACACACACACACACACACACACACACACACACACTCCCCCATAGTATTTAGAGTCACTAGTCCCATCTCTTCTAGCAGAGATTTGACAGGCATCCTTGCTATGGCCTTTCAGGTGTCTCTTGAAGATCCTTTTTAGGCTGACAGGTTTATGCAGCTGTTTAAATTTTCTTTACCAGCCAGTCGTTGTCAGAGTTACTTTGTACTGGTCTTCTAATGTTTTATGTTTTAGTTCAATCATTGTACACCACCTTGATATTATACATGCGATGGTGGTATATAATTTTTTAACATAAATAAATAATATAGTATGGTGGGACTGTGCAGAATAGGGCAATAAAACAGAGTGGCTCACAGATGAGGGAAGCAGAAAAATACTAGTTTGTTAAAGAAATAAAGGAGTCCTCTTTGGGAAAACTGAGGACTGCCCCCATGAAGCCACCTTGAGTCCTTGTCAGGGAAAATGGGGGGGGGGGAAGAAGTGAGCAAGTTAAGTAAGTAAGTAAGTAAGTAAGTAGACAAGAGGATAAGCAGAGCCACCCATGTAACCATCTAATCAAACTCAGAGTTTTATGTAAGAGAGAAATTAGGATTGGGGGAGCATGTGTTATCATAGCCCAACCCCATTTTTGCTCTCCTCCCCATTATCCCCCCCCATTGCAGTCCTTTGGGGGTGATTAATTGGAATCAGATGGGAAATCATTTTCACTGATCCAAGTGCCCCAACTGCTTAAAAGATCATGGATGGTGAGTGAAATTAGTATCGTAACGGCCATTTTCCAATCCAATTGTTATGAAGAAGCATCTCTAGCAGTATGTGCTACCCAAGGTGTGGCTTTAATTCTATTGCAGTACAAGAACTGTCCGCCAGAAGGACTCTATGGGAGGCCAGTCATCTACTCAGAGCTCTTAGCCAAGTTCAGATGTTTAGGAGATGAGTAATTACCGTATTTTTTGCACCATAACACTCACTTTTTTCCTCCTAGAAAGTAAGGGGAAATGTCTGTGCGTGTTATGGAGCAAATGCCTGCGGGTGGCGGGGGGGATCTGCTGCAGTCGTGAGCAGAGGATCCATGGTTCCCCTTCCTTCTCTCCTCCGTGGTTACAAAGCATGGATCCACATGGATCCTCAGGATTTTTGCATTGGGCTACTCCAAACTCACTGTCAGATCACATGTGGCCACAGCATGAACCACAAAAATCATATATCCACTATTTCGTTTAGAATATTTTTTTTCTTGTTTTCCTCCTCTAAAAACTACGTGCGTGTTATGGTCTGG